ATGAATTTACTTCCTTACTACAGACTGTAAGAAGGTGAAGCAGTGACATTTTGCACAGTTTTGGCTTTGTTGTTTTTTTCAGAAATTGCACATTAATTAGTTAGCAATTAATCAATTTCTAAATTCGATGGCAATTATTTCAATAATCGATTAATCGTTTCAGCCATAATTAAAATAGACATATTTTTCAATGGTATTATCTTGTGTGTCCGCAGGCGGAGATAAAAAATGTCAGCGTTCTCGCTTTTGAAGGCAACCGAAGCGCCCAGTGGCCAGTCGGGGTCAATCCGCCTTTTGAGGCTAAATCTCGGTTTGAAGTTCTGAAATGGGAGTACTTCACAGAGGAGGAGATTTACTCGTGCATCGACGGCGCTCCTAAGTGTGAGTTGCGGGGTATCGATAAACTGGATGTGGCTGAGGTCATAGACACAGCCATAGAGGAGCTGAACAAAAAGTACATGCCCACTTTACATCTGAAGAAGCAGCAGCTGATTAACGGATACAGACGCTTCGACCCCACCAGGGGCATGGAGTACACCTTAGACCTTCAGCTGGAGGTCGTCAATCAGAAGGGTCACAGCCGCTCCATCACCAAGAGAGTCCACCTGGTGCGACCCCTGAGCCTCATAGAGATCATTCCCATGCCCTACGTCACCGAAGCGACCAGGGTCCACATCATTATACCTCTGACTGCAGAAGACCGCAGCTACATCAACCATTTCCTGGAAGTCTTTGCCTCCAACGCCTTTGAGACGAGCGAAAACGCCATCCTCACATTTCTGTTCATTTACGACCCAGAGGAAGCTCAACACGTGAACCACAACGACATATTTATCGACGCGAAGAATCAGATAAATGTTTACGAACGAAAATACCCCACGGTGAAAATCCCCTGGATCAGCGTCAAGACGGAGATACCGTCCCAGATTAAGTTCATGGACATCATCTCCAAAAAGCACCCGGTGGACACTTTGTTCTTCCTGGCGCACGTCAACACGAACATCAACGCCGAGTTTCTCAACCGCTGCCGCATGAACTCCATAAACAACTGGCAGGTCTTCTTCCCCATCCACTTCCAGGAGTACAACCCCGATGTTTCCTATCACAACCAGCCGCCCCCAGCCACAGTCGACCTGGTGAAGGACGCCGGACATTTTGACCGCAGGTCATTCGACGAGGCGTGCTTTTACAACTCCGACTACATGGCGACGCGATCCCGCATGGTGGCGGACGTCCAGGAGAACGAGGACATCCTTGAAAGCCTGGACATTTATGACATTTTTGTGAAGTATTCCGGTCTGCACGTATTCAGAGCTGTTGAGCCAGCGCTGCACCAGCAGTACCGCTACCAGTCCTGCAACCCCAAACTCAGCGAAGACATCTACCACCGGTGTATTCAGAGCAACATGGAGGGCCTCGGGTCCCGATCGCAACTCGCCATGCTGCTTTTCGAGCAAGAACAAGGAAACAGTACTTGAAGCATTTCACCTGCTTTATTTTCGTAAAACGGACTGAAGATGTTGGAGTCAGTTGAAAAAAGCAACAAGTCTTCCACCAGCTTTAAGTCCAACCCAACGGTTCTCCCTAAAGGCTGTTTGTCAGCTTTGTCTTTTTTAGCTAGTTTTGATAAACGGATGCAACAGAGGTTTATAATGAAACCAAACGTGTTAGCTATGCTGACAAATATAAAAATTGCAATAAGCAGTTTTGACCACTAGGGGAGGCATAGAAACCAGAGACTCGTGGCTTTGCGGTAGCTTTGAGGAGTTTGTGTCGTCTCCTCAGCATTCAGGTGGAAATCGCTACCAAAGACTGAGAATACTCAGGGGTAGGCATGGGCCGGCTGCTGTACGTCCAGTTTAAATTTCTTCCATTGAAATCTAACAAAACTAGTTGCTGCACACTGCCAGTCGGGTGGCTGAAAGAAGACCACTTCTTTTCTCTTGAGCCTATAAGAACAAATTTAGATTTGGAAAGTAAAGTATCTCCACCAAACACACTTACTCATAAATACAGTTGGCAACCATCTTTAGTCGGCAAACATTGGACATACATTGACTTTTTAGGACTGAATTGAAAAATGTATTAAAATTAGAAATTTTTTTAGGCTATTCAACTAAATTTGGCCCAAACAGATTCTTAAATTAAGTCTTTGCTGCCCATCTTTAGGTATCAGTAGATATGTTTGTGTTGACATATTTTCACTCTATTTATCCATATTTTAACATTGTTTACACCCAATCCAATGTCGTTTATTCGATGGAAATGTGTTTGGGACAGAGTGAAATATTCAACCTGACTACTGGAGCAGAAAGGCATAAGTGGCAAGGTTACTTGAAAATTACCCCAATATTTATTCATTAAATTTTTATGTTAAATTCAATATTGCAGTTCACAACAAACTATAATATTTTATCTCAGTAGGAATTAAAGAAATGCAATAATGTTACATATTTTTTTTCCTTTAAATATTTTTCAGATGCTGTGAGAAGACCGGCCCATGCCTAGTTAGGAGTAATTATGTTAATTGGTCACAATTAGAAGGAGGTAGTTTCCTTTTGGGAACATTAGCTTAGATTAGCTGAGAAAGCTAACAAACATGTCTTTTAAAAGTATTAGCACCCCTTGAACTTTTTTTTTGCATTTTTCTCACATTGCAACTACAAACTTTGATATGTTTTATTTAGATTTGTAGAATATTACATGGAGTGTACTGTATAACTGTGAAGGTTATGCATGATGCTTCTACATTTTACTAGATTCATTAATAGTTAGTTTTAAAGGGGCGGTAAAACGTATTTTCCACACATTTTTATAACACCATCAAGTAATTATGTTACCTTCAGTTATTAAAAATGCAGCATATGAAATATTACACCTTGAAATTGGGTCTCTGTCTTTTTAAGAAACGCTTACTCTTCCTGACACTTCCCCTATATCATGTTACGACATTAAAACATAATAAAAAGCTAAAAAAAAGTTGATTTTTAAAATATTTTGTATCCTCTACCTGGTTTAACTGTAAAGTGTCCCCACAGCATGATGCTTCCACCGTAATGCATTTCGCTTTTAGTATTTAGTATTTTGGTATTTTTTAAGGTTTTATTAACACCAGATTTTATTTTTTTACATTTTATAAACCATGTACTTATTCTCTACTTTATCCCTCAAATAAAACGGTTTGTGGTTGCATTAAAACGTTCAAGGGGAAATAATGCTTTTTGGAATGTGCATCTTGGTTGTGTTACATTCTGATGAATGAAATGCTTTTCGTTTGGATAGAGTGAGCTAATGCAGTAGGTATGTTGGGTTTGGAAACCAATTAACCAAAAACAATAAGCGGTTTGTAATTAAAAGATTTCATTGCTGCTTCTCAGAGGGGTTTGACTTATGAGCAGTGACTGGTTTGCTTTTTGAGGATGCCCTTTGATTTAATCCGTATCATTAAATTGGAAGTTAATGTTTTATTTTATTTCCAACGGTACATTGCACCACTGCTTGTGTGCCCCAGTTATTGCACTTTTGATACTTAACTGGTTTGAGTATTCACAGAAGTGTGTTTGTATAACGTGCCTTGACAAAGACGTTTCATATGTTGGCTGTCTTGTTTTATATATATATGTATATATATATAAAAAGTGGTATTTGTTGAACTCGTATGGCTGGGAGAGTGGAGCTTTCTGTGTGTTTATAACGCCTGCCACAGCTGGGAGACTGAAGTGGGGTCTCGGTTGAGTTTTTATTGCGATCTTGGACATACCATGAACTCGACCATCTGCAGGCTGAACGTAACGTGTGCCTCGAAGCCAGGAGGAGCTCTCTGGAAAGCATCTGTTGGGTTTGATTTATGAAGACTTGACTTACATTTTTTTTAATGGTACAAAACAAACAAGCCCTACGAATAATGACGTTGTTACTGTCTGGATGTCGGGATATATTTTAATTACATTAGAAATATTTTTCTACATCAACAGAAGCAAAAATTGGAGAAGGTTTAGCTGTTCCAAAGTGCTTTGGATGATTTTTTATTTTTTGCTAAATATGGTGTGCTTGAACTCCAGATGTTGTGAAATGCAGTAGGAGGTTTCTTCTGTCTCTGAGCAGTAATGGATGTATTAGTGCTGGACAGCAGTTATTTATTAGTACATTAAAATGTGCAATATTACAGATAACACAGCTGGACAGGCAGCTTTTAGGCGACGGGATTTTAAATTTCAAAGACATTTTTGTTTCTTCAAGTGCAGCGGTGTGTATATCACAGTACTGTTCATGACTCGTACCTTCTGTTTGAGGCAGAGTAAATACACTGTAATTTCGCTGACAGGCCCTTTTAATGTATTTTGCTCGCTGTAGACACTTTTTCATCACATTTGCTTTGAAATACATAAAACCGAGGCGAGTCCTTTTATTTAACTGTAATTGGATTTAATATATATGTTGGAGACACTACAGCCGCCGTGGTGGTCCGCCGCGTTTCTTTTCTGTTTTATTCACAGTGTGAACACAGATCATTAAGTTCATTTTTATGTTGATTTTTTTATATACATCTTATAACTTGGTGTGAATGTTTTCCTGAAGAGTCTTCCAGAGAAATCACTGTGAAATAATGAGGTTGAGATTAAAATATGAAGTTACTGAAATGTGCTGTTTTCTTGCCTTTCTGTCAGCATGAAAGGTCTGGATCACAAGTGTCAAACTCGAGGCCCGGGGGCCAAATCCGATCCACCACAGCTTTTTATGTGGCCCTGTAAATCCTAGACTAAATGCTAAATGTGCTTAAATATTATTTTATCAATCAAGTCAATGCAGTTTTTATCTGTTTACTGCCAAATTATGTCAATCAGTCCCTCCGTTTTTTGCAAATTATTGTGGAAATTCATGCAAAATCAACAAATCCCCACACTTTTTTTGCACTAATATTTAAGTGGTAATTTATTCTAAAACGTTCTTACTTATACTAAACAGCTGTCTCGGTCTTAATTAATGTCAGCTTATAGTCCGTGATCTGTACAGTGAGTAATAAAAAGTCACATTTACCGTCATAAATAAGTGCAAATATTTCCAAATTAGTACCACAAACACTTTGATTTTTATTGCAAAAAATCACAAAACAATCGTAAAATCCAGGAGGGACTGTAAAGATGTTCCATTTTATTTAATTTTAAGAATTTATTGATATTTTAACAGTTCGTGAACGGGTTTTGTCAATACATTCTGGCACAATTGGCCCTTTAAGAGGATTTATAATCTTGATTTGGCCCAAATCGAAAATGAGTTTGACACCGCTGGTCTAGAATCAAGTGAGGCGTCGGATTAATTGTCCTGTGTGGCTGGACGAAAGCTCCTTAGGTATTTTTAATGATTTATTTATCTGTCACATCACCTAAATAACAGTATTTTCTGCATTCATGACATTCTTTGTACACTCCATTTTTAAACATCTTTCTACAGCAAGTTATGTTTTATTTTACCGTTTTTTGTGGTCCTAAAGTCATTTTAATATGTTGAGTTCATTCCACATTTATTTCCACAAGGAGCTGAAGTTTTCCCTTTGCACCCCATTCACTGGTTTGTACTGTTTTCAGACACATTGGTACTTTTTAAACCAAAGCGGTACATTTTGGTTAATGCACATGACGTGTAATTGAGTGCTGTAATTCTCAATAAACTGTGAATCATTGTAATTTTTCTAAATAAATAATTTTAAATATTTGTGTGTTTGTGTGTCAAAATTCAAAATAAGAGCTGTAAAAATGGCATATTTTTCTGAAAAAGATTTATTTTAACATATTTCTGTAGAAAACATGAAAATAAAGATAAAATATTAGTTTATATATATATATATATATATATATATATTTATATGTAATAGGGTTTTGTTTTAACAATATTATAAATGTGAAGTTTATCAAAATGTATTTTTTTTATTTATTTTGTTTAGTCAACAAGTTGTTTCTCCAGACATTTATTGGCGTTTGCTCTTGGCAGTTGGTGGTTACCGTAGCAACCGGTAACTGATGGCTCCTCCCCCTTTTTTCAGTTGCTGTTTGTAACTGAGGGGCAGAAGCTGCTGGACTGATGTTAACCACCAACTTGATTTCCTCTTTTGTTAGAATAAATACAGAGAACCTGAATGTGTCTGTCGTGAAGTCGACCTACTGGACCTGAGACGAACACAGCCGGGTTACACCTGGTGCCGTGACCCGGATTTGAATCGGGGGATTGCTGCTCTGGAAATAATTAAGAGCCCACTGCACTGAACCCCATTGAAAACCTCATGGCTATTTCACCAAATACTGATTTCTGAACTCTTCCTGAGTTAAAACATTAGTATTGTTTTCTTTGCATTATTTGAGGTCTAAAAGCACTGCATCTTTTTCGTTATTTTGACCATTTCTCTTTTTCTGCAAATAAATACTAAATATTTGCTTGCAATATCAGAGACATGTTGTCAGTAGTTCATAGAATAAAATAACAATATTCATTTTACTCAAACATATACCTATAAAAAGTAAAATCAGAGAAACCGATCATTTTAAGTTGTCTCTTAATTTTTTCCAGAGCTGTATGTGTGTAGATTTTCATTTTTTGCGTTCTACCCACAGATTTCATTTTGTCCTTTAGGTGTCAGCACAAGTACGTGCTTCCTCCAGGTTTGCACTCCGCCGGTGACTGCTGGTTGCAAAGATGAAAACTGCAACTGGACAACATTTGAGAATCCCCAGTTTTATTTGACATAAAAATGTCATATTTTTTCTAATCCTCTGTCCTGAGCAGGCCAGTTCTGTCAGATCTGACATTCTCCTGATGTGTGGGTTGGGTTAAAAACAGGGAAAAAATGTTGCGACCTTAATTACAGCTTCAGTTATTTCGAGGGTCTATGTGCACTACCCTTAGGCATGCTGTAAAACCACATAACTACAGAGCAGCAAGGTTTTAATTGTAAGTCATTATTTTGTACTTCGTTTTACGCCGAGTCCCAGGACTTTCTCCTACCTCGTGGGCAAGCAGTCTCAAAGTCGACTGGCACTGTAAAACTTTCTATATATGTTTTTTATTTTATTTTTGTTCACTTGGATGGCACTGAAACAAAACTGGTCAGATTGTAGAACATATTTTACATTTTAGAGGTTTTAATAACTTGTCCCAGACGTTATTGCGATAAACGATAATATTGGAACATTGGATATTATTGGAACCATTTTCCAGTATTGGTACTGGGTTAAAAATGCAAGAACACATTTTTAAAGATAAATAAACTTTAAATTATAATGAACATTTAATACTGGAACTGGAAAACATTTTAAATAAATAAAACATCATAAACAACAAATAAAATTATGAACAAAATTGTCCTTCAAAAGAGGGATAGTTGAAACCAAAGCATCAGACTGAAGACTTTTCCCATCCAATTTTAGTAAAAAGAAAGAAAAACGATAAATCATGCAACTGGAAATTATTTATCTTGTTTTAATTTATCTCAGATTAATTAATGTATTGCTTATTTCCACAGGTTTATGGATAAGTAGTAAAAAAAACTGACACCACAAACTGAAGTGACGTCTGGACTTTGAGACACATTTAGTTTTTTTTAATCTAAACTTTAATAGTTTTTGTATTTACCATATTTGACATTTATAAAATCTGTTCTAACAGAGGAATATTCACATCATCGTAAGACTTATATACAACATGTATGCTCTCTGTGCTCCCTCTCTGGGATGGTCCATTTCCATTTCTGTCGGAAACGAGATGAAATTTCTCCCACTGAAATCCAGACAGAAGCTTGCATCACCGCCATCTTACACGCTTTTCCCCTTCAGGCTTCAGCTTAGAAATATTTGGTTGACAAAAAAGAAAAAAAAGGCAGATATTTCAAACTGTGGCCAGTTGGAATATTTGGGTTTTACTCATAATGTACTAAGCAAATACAAGCGTGATGCCATGGAGAAAAGATCCAAAAAATGAAGGACAGGATCTCTGATAAAGAGTTTGAGGAATCCCAGAAATGAGAGCAGCCTGTTGGGAAGCGACAAACGTGTCTTTTTGTCATACGCACAGAGTTATAGAGTAAAAAAAGTACTTTTTTTCAGGTATCTGTACTTTATTTTGAGTAATTTTTACTTTTACTCCCCATCTGTACTTTCTACTTTAATTATGAGGGAAAAAATCCACCTCACACAAAAAGTGTTGGTAATTCACCATTCAGTTGGATCCAGCCAAAGCAAAGCAGAAGAAGAAGAAAAACAAAATGGAGGCTTTAACCTGAGTAACATCGCAAACAACAGGAACACATTCAGACGTAAAACATTCCCCATCTGCAGCCTTGTTTTAAAAAAATCCTTCCATGTTGTTGGATCAATTAACGATTAGTAACAAATTCACTGTTTTGTGCAAAATAAATGATCCTGATGGAGATGTGGTTTGAAGAAAAACTAGAATGTATAAGTTTATTTTTATTTCTATGCAAACAGAGCATATTGTGAGCATTTTTTATGACATTTGTGACAAAACATTTTGTTATGGCTAGTATTTTGCACGACTAGGACGTTTTTACTATTTTAGATTTATTGAAAGTCACTCTTAGTTTTGGTACTAAATACATTTCAAAACTTCAACCCGTACTTTTACTTTTACTAGAGCACATGTGTCAAACTCGAATATAGCATATATTCCCAAATTAGTCCCACAAACAATAATGAAATTCTGGAGGGACTGAAAAGATGTTAAATATCATTATTTCATTTAAAGAATTCGTTGACATTTTAACAGCTTGTGAACGGGTTTTATCCGTTCACATTCTGGCACAACCAGAATGTGAACTAAGAGTTAAGAGTAAATAATATATTGTATAGTTAAGAGTATTCATAGTCTTCATTTGGCCCAAAATGAAAATGAGTTTGACACCGCTTTCCTACAGTGTTTTGTCATACAAGTCTGTTTATAACTTTAACTTGAAAGAGAATCCAGAAACAAGTTGATATTTATTGATGTATTAAGTTCTGCTGCGGTTGGTGGTTACCATAGCAACCAGTAACTGACAGCTCCTCCCCTTTTTTTCTGTTGCCATCGGTAACTGTGGTATGCATCTGTGTTTTCTTTACAAGCAATACATTTTAACATATATTTTAGAAAAAAGCAATCATATGCAGTGTTTTATGAGTAACTTTGCTATGTTTTGTATATGGTTTTAACTGGTATTGTTATTAATATTGTGCATTTTAGCTATGTTTAACTTTACAACTACTGCTAACTGATGCTAACTGCTCACTGTGAGCTATTGTTTGTAGTTTGTTTAGGGTTATTTATTATATTTTATGTATATGTATATCATCAGTCCAGCAGACACTGCTGGACTGATGATAACCACCAACTTGATTTCCTCTTTTGTTAGAATAAATACAGTGAACCTGAAGTCAAGCTACTGGACCTGAGACGAACATAGACAGTTACACATGAACTCAAAAAACTGCATCCTCCAGGTCTGTATTCAGCTCAGCACACCAGCTCCTGTGTGACTTCTCAGAGGATGGCTACAATTATTGATGACAGAGGAGAAGATTGCTATGCATGGCCTGTACAGGATGCCATCAGAGACGGTGATTGGGAACCTTTTGAAAATGTCAAAGTGACACATGATTATGAATATTAAACATCCATGTATGGAGCATGATTACTTCAAAGGGGGAGGGAAATAAACAGTCGGAGGCTGGGATCTCATTGCGAGCCGTTGAAATATGGCAGAACACCAGCGACTGAATATATCAAATAGATTAACAAAAGCATCATTTGTTATTGCCAAAGGGCATATATCATCATTTTTAATTTCTTTTTCTTTTTATGTATGTTCAGGCTTGTAACTCACAATATTTCTAATAATACACACAAAAGTTGCCAAAAACTGTTGACATAACATTTGGAGTGCTTCATTCAGACATCAGGGCTTAATGCTAAAGTGGCGACAATAAAACTGATGCTCACAAGGTAAAAATATTTATATGCCAATTTATCCAGTGAGAAAGAGGATCTAGCAAACCGGCACCTTGTGAAGAGTTTAAAAGCTCTCTCTTATGATCCTAGTCAATGTAACAGACGCTGTACTTTAAAACGTAACAATTCTGACACAATTTTGATTAATAAAATTTGTGCTCTGGATCTGACCAGCATTATTACTTTGATCTGAACATATGTACAGATCAAAGTAATAATGTAATAAATACATTTCAACAACTTTGGAATATTAAAAAAATGTTTTACAGGTTTTAAAGTGAAGAAATGAATCCGATTTTGTGGAACTTGAAATTCTGTCAAATCTCCAAAGTTTGTGTCATTTCTGGTGCGGATAGGTACACTGTTTATTTTTATTTTTTTTAATGTATGGAGGACCAATCCTGCCATTATTAAGAATGAATGAAAAAAAATCACTAATTAAAATAATTATAGTACCAAAAAACAACTTGACAAATAAGTGTGCCTCTAAATGTAACAAAAATAATAATGAAAAAAGAGATTTATTCAATAATCATTAATTTCTGCAGGACTTTTAGGCAATTATTTCTAATGAGTCATTTACTTCTGTATTTAATCTTAAATATGGCAGGACTGAACCTCCACATATTTTTAAAACTCTATTCTTATTTATATATGTTACATGCCTTTCATATTATTAGATTTTCGTTTTTTAAATATGAATTTTGCCCTTTAAATCACACAGTGATTATGCAACAATTTCACTATATCTAGTTAAAATATTAATAATAGCATTTACTCTCGTGTTTTTCAGTAGTGGATTAGCAGCTACTGCATTTGGCCCAATGTGGTGATAAATGGCCACTTTAATAAAAACAAAGCACAGCCATAAATCGAAAACAATTATTTCCTGAACGATGAGCTAACTGTGCAACAGACAGAAGAAGCTGCGCTGCCATTTATTTATTCATTTATTCAGAGACGCAGTGATTAGAGCAGAACACTAAATTATGTGTTAGCTTGTTTTTTTCATCACTAACCGATAGTTAAAGGTAACCTCTCTGCAGTTTTGTCCATTGCAGGAAGCAGCAAAACAAAACATGGAGCCTTCCTGATCTGACATTTTTTAGGAAAACTGGAGCAAAATTTGTGCTCTGTGCAGAACGAGGGTTAGGATTCTTATAATGTAAACAACAAAAAACCCCAACAAAACTGTAAGTGTTTCCTGGGATTGACAAAAAAAGACAGAAATAATACCCTTTGTATTCCTTAGTTTTCCTTTTTTGTCACATTTAAGCCACAACCATGTACTTACTGGGATTTTATGTGACAGCGAGTTGCTGCAAAATGAAAGTAAAGTATTTAAATTTAAACAGTTTATAGTCTCTTCATATTTACTACTGTCAACTCTTATCATCCTAAATAAAATCCAATTCAACCAGTTGTTCTCAAAAGTTACCTAGTCAGCAAATAGAGTAAATTTTATTTTTTGTTCTACTCCTATTCTTCAGTAAATATTAGTGAACAGTTTTATGAAGAGCAGCCGTAAAGTTGTGGAGAAACCTGAAACAGGGTTAGGATTTAAAATAAAGTCTTAATGGAACCTACTGCCGTTTTACATCACAATCAAGTAACTATGTAACCCTCAGTTATTATAGAAATCCTGTAAATATCTATTGAGTTAAAAGAAATTTGACTTTATAATTTGACGCCTTGAAATTGGGTCTCTGTCTCTTTAAGAAACTCCGCCTCCAGGAAGTCATCGTCGCTTTTCTGTTAACGCTTTAATGATGTTTTTACCAGCGTTTCACTGATATGTGGCTCAGATAATGAGCTACTACAGTGTTTGCTAATTGCTGCTAGCTAGTCTGAAAGAGCTGCTCTGTGAGGCGGAAGCTTGAAGATCTGGAAGCCGTAGCTCAGAGGAGGAGCTGCGCCTCGAAGGCGGGGCTAGGTCCAACCAATGGTTCCCATGGAGATTAAAAGATTTCTCAAACATACACGAAAGAGTCAAAGCAAAACACAAGGTATGTTTTTGAACAGGGAATAACTTTATAACATGATGTAAAGCTAAAATCTGCCCCTTTAAATTAAATTTGACTTTGTAGCTTGACGCCTTGAAATTAGGCCTCTCTCTCTTTAAGAAGCTCCTGCTCTTTCCCACGCTCTGCCTTCACAAGAATGTTTCTCGTTACGCCGTTTACAGCTGTTGTTAGGAGAGTTAGACTGTGGCAGCATCATGCTGTGGGAATTCGTTTGAACAGCAGGTACTGGGAAGCTGGTGAGGGCTGATGGGAAAATAAACTGAGCTTAAATTTAAAGCGAATTTTAAAATATGAAACTTAAAATTCAATCTGATTGAGCCTGAGGAAAAAATTTCATTTTTGAGATGTGACTCAGTCTTTATTTTGAGATTATCTCTGAAAAACAGTGCATTTAGTCAGAGGCCTTTTTAGATTCACTGTAACACAGACTGCTACAGGAAATGTTTCCCGCCACCAGCCATCACCATCAACAGAGACTCTGAATAATCTGAAGTTACAGGAGCGTTTAGTTTCCCTTTGGGATCAAAAAGGTATTTTTGAATTTGAGACATACTTCAACATATTTGCAGCTGTATTTCTGTATTTATTTGTGATAAATTTTTAAAACAATGCATCATTTTGCTCCTAATGTTCAATACACTACACTGTGCTGGTCTGTCATATAAAATCCCAATGAAATATGTTAATATTTGTTGTTTTAATGAGACAAAATGTGACTTAATTCAAGGTGCATGAAAACTTTTGAACCAGGCAGCTTGGAAAATAAAACCAGCAGAACATCAGAAACAGCGACGTAACAGAATAAAAAGATTGAACTGCTAACTGTGTGGTCCCTGAATGTGTTAAAAATAAAAGAAGGAACCTCAGACAAAATTTTTAAAAGCTCTCGCTGTGTGAATTTAGGGATTTTCCTGCAGCGGAAAAAGCCGTTAGTGACTAGACTGGCCTTGTACGATAGTGGAAAATATGAACATGAGGGAATCAGAGTAAAAGTTTTCATTATTAATTTCCATTACCGCTCCTCTAACTTGTGCTCTTAAAATTTACCGTGTCCTTGTCACGTATTTTCACGCCTAACCCAAAATGACTGCTCCGTCGTCTGCAGCCGTGTTTGTGTGGCAGAAGTTTTTGCCTGGATTTCGTAGATAAAAACCTTCAAACCAAAATAATGCAGGTCTAGTTTTCCCACTAACTTCTCTGATTCTAATCCACTAATTTCACTGGATCAGCTTAGCGGAGATGTCACCTTAATGTGCTCAGTCATGTGTGCAAAATGTTAAAGTATGCATGCATGCAAACACAAAACACACAAAACACACACACACGCACACACACACACACAGTAATGCCAGGTTCACACAGTAATAAGCTGCTGTGCTTCTTGCAGTCGCTGCGGCCCACATCTGAAGGAGATGACTTGGCAAAAGAGGTAAGATTCTGTCTCTTATTGCTTATGTCAGCTGAAAGTTGTGTTATTAACCAGAATGAAGGGTTGGATGGAGGGAATAAAAAGAGAAATCAGAGGAATAATTCAAGTACAGCCGTTTTACAGCTAAAAACATAAACAGCTTCTGATCCCATTGCAAAGATTTGTGTGGAAATATAAAAAAAGGGGAAAATATACAGCAAAAGTATTCGCAGCCCTTGAAGTTATTGCCACACTAAAGCCACACAGTAATGATTTCACTGGGATTTTACCTGCAACATCGACAGAAAGTAAAGCCTGTCTTTGGAAAGGAGTTAAAATGACGCTGGATTTCAAAACTTCACACAGATTAAAACCTCCTCTGTTTGTATTCAGCCCCTTTAATTTGATGCAAATCATTAAGTTAAAACATGCAAACAGTTGCTGTCAACCAACCAGGTTTTAATAGATCAAACTAGAGGTCCGTGGGCCAAATCAGGCCTCCCAACGCTATTTACGTGGCCCTCAATAACTGTGTTATTTTATTGGTTTTCATTTGTATTATGTTAAATTACATAAAGGTAAAAAGAAGGCTACTATTATTCTATTTTAGGGTATTCACAAACTGTTAAAATACCAATTAATTCTTAAAATTAAATGATATTGTACATCTTTTCATCTTTCCAGGATTTTATGATCGTTTTGGGATTTTTTAAAATAAAAATCAAAGTGTTTGTGGTACTAATTTGGAAATATTTGCGCTTATTTATGTCAGTAAATGAGACTTTTTATTACTCGCTGTATAGATCATGGATTATAATCAGACATCAATTAAGGCCGCGGCAGCTGTTTAGTACAAGTAAGAAAGTTTTTGACAACTTTTGCAAAAAATCAGCAATAAACTCCCAGTTATGTGTCGGTGCAAAAAGTTCAGGGATTTGTTGATTTTACGTGAATTTCCACGATAATTCACAAGAAACTGGAGGGAGTGATTGATATAATTTGGTAGTAAACGGATAAAACCTGCATTGATTTGACTGATAAAGTAATATTTAAGAACACTTTGTATTTAGTCTAGAGCTTATAGGGCCACATAAAAAGCTATGGCGGGCCAGATTTGGCCCACGGGCCTCGAGTTTGTCACTAGAGGTTTGTTAGGGAATATTAATGAAGACAGCAGACAGGACAGGGATAAATTTATAACAAAGTTTAAAGGGGCATATCAAGTTTTACCACTGCAGAAAACCTCAATCAATCCTCTGAAAATGGAAAGAGAAACACACAATGCAGGACGGCAGCATCGCCACACAGCAGTGGCAGCATCATGCTGTGGAGCTTCTTTCACTGGAAAATGCTCAGATTGACAAGAAAAATGATGCATCATTCTGTGTTGGTATGTCACATAAAGTCCAGATTAAATACATGAATTATGTGGCTCTGATGTGACAAAATATGAACAAGCTCAAGAGCTGCGGATACTTTTGTTATCCAGTTTTCTCACCTTTGCGGTGATGTTCGGCAGTCAGTGGACAGTATATGCTACAATCGTGATTTTCAAAAAAAAAACTCCTCTAAAATGTATAAATAATTAAAAGTGATATTACATAAGTTATATAGTAACTAAATATAAACAACAACCATTAAAACAAACCTTGTAGGACTTTGTGGTTTATGTACAGGTACACTGCTACTCTAACACCTTCATCACAAACCGGACAGGATGCTTCATGTGGAAAGATGCTGCTAGCTCCTTTCTCAGCCTAAATAAATCCACTCACGCTTCGGATGGTTCAACACCAACAAGGTTTGCTTACTGTTATCTTGTATACAATACAGAACAGACAGATAATAGTACTTTGTTAAATAATTACATAATTTATCAAGTGTAATGATCTGATACAGCTTCATGAAGTCAGAGTAGATTCAGGAACACAGACGTAGTAATATTATTAACAATTAAAAATAGATGCCAACAGAATAAATAAATCCTTTTTAAAGTGCATTTATCCTCTTATCCCTTGTAGTGATCATGTACCAAAGAGTTGGTCGTTGTAGCCTCCGAGAAGTCAAGGCGGCGCTGAGTTAGGTTTGGTTCCCATTCAGATCAAAACGAGAAAAACAGACAAAGAAGAAGAAGAAGGAGAAGGAGAAGAAGAAGAAGCCGTGTCTGAGTTGTGCCTAAACTGTACATACAAGTGGTTTGTTAGCAGCACAAGTTTAGTGTTTTTGACTTTGGCTGTAGCTTTTCACTGGTGAGAGCAAAGAAACAAACGGAGATGCAGAGGAGGAGAAGGAGGAGGAAGAGGGGGGATCTGTTTCTGTCTCAACACAGATAGTTCCTGTCTTGTTTTGTCACCAGGACTGGAAACAAAAGCTGGCTTTAGCAAGCGAAGTCCTCAAATACGCCGTGGTGTCCCGGGCGATGTTGGTGCGGCGCAGGGAGAGGGTGAGAAAGAGGGTGAGGATGAGGGACGTGGTGGTTCGGGAGGATCGTGTTGGCGTACGCCCCCTCTGGGTGACTCCGTGTCGTGTCATTGGGCTCCTGTTGGAGGCAGACAAAACAAAGTCAAGACCAGGATCAAATATTGAATAAAAACAAATAAATCAGTTCATTTTTCACAAGCTTTTTGTTTTCATCTTTCCAGTGTTTGGGATGTAAATGTTATGGCTGGAAACTGAACAAAAAGCTGTGATTAGCCTAGCATAGACGAACAAAACCCCCCTGTTATAAACGACCTGTTTTAGAAACCATTCAGCAGCCAGTGTGATACTCCTCCTTCACCTCTGTGTGACTCCTGGGGGCCTTCCCTGACACTCCTCCAGAGGAGGAGGCCCGCCTCCGAAGCACCGCTGGAGTCCACAGCTGTTGGGCCAAATCACTCACCATCTGTCACAGTTACTATATGCAGAGCAGGCTTCGACTCACTCCGGCTTAGATTCAACATGAGAAGTCTATTGCTTAGAAAATAAGCAACCTCAGAATTAAGTTGTGTAATAATGAATTTGAGCTCCAGGGGAGGTTGTGTTTTGCAAAGTGGTTAAAAAGTAATTAGGAGCATTACACTCCTTATTCTCATGTGGTGGAAAAATATTAATTTGCTTCTCTATTACTTATCCAGTTGCTGTTTTCTAATACAGCTGGCTGCAGTGCTGCAGGGTGAGGGTGTAGGATGTACACTCAGCATGAAAACAGGGAAAGAGTAATTTATTACAGAGCAGTTTTTGTTCAGTACCTTTGCTTTCATTTCTTCTAGACCCACTGTGGCAACAGTTGTGGTCGGCTGGGTATTCTTCTTCTCTTCTTTCTGCGGTCTCAGCAGACGTTGTAGCCGATGCTTGATCAGCTGGTTTCACCGAGAGAACGTCAAGCGGGAAAAAAAAACCGGGAAAGAAATACAGCATTTGGAAGAGGAGTTCTGTGTAAAATCATTGTATTCATATATAGTTTTGTGCTCAAATGCATTTGCCCCCTTTCAGATTTCTTCTTTCCCTTTCATGTTTCACTCTAAGCATAAGACCACCGTACCAAATGTCAAGCATGGTGGCGGCAGCATCATGCTAATGGCTAATTAGCTGCCAGTGGTACAGGTGTATCAAACAAATGAATATGGCTTGTAAAAAGGAGCATTACCTACAAAGTTTAGCTTGAAAGTAAATAAATAACAGTATATAATCATGACAGACACTTGATCAATATCAATAGATAATACGTCTGACAGGATATTCAAAAAGTTCCAAGGAATCCAATCCAGAACTGCACAGCATTCTGGGAAACCTCTCACGTCTAGCTAAGCAAAGTGGGTGACACCAACTAACGCACTCACTCTTTGGTTACCTAGCAACTCACTTATTCTCTGGTTACCTAGCAACGACCTGTAGAGTAACTTGCGCAGCAGCAGTTTACGTTTCCGCCACTGTGACTAAAATAACTGCTAAAAAATAAACAACGGCGGGGAACAAAAACTGAGGATGAAACAGTATTTCAGACATTAAAAACAAAAAAACTAACCAATAATTATTGATTTTGACAGATATGAAACACACAGAGTGTCACATGTTTTTTTTACCGATTTAGTCCAAAGTTTTCAGCTTTCCCTTGATAAGAATAGCTAGCCAGCTGGAGACAGTTGAGTGTCCCAACAAACCGATGGCTTAAATAAATGACTAAAAGTTAAAAAACAACATCACATGCATGCTTCAATAAGTTTCCATAGACTTCTGCACTGGAACTAGAATGTAGATTCACTTAATCAGCGTTTTGTCTGGATTAAAGTCAACAATATATTTAGTAACAAGCTCTTGGTTTTGTTTCAAATCCAGCAACTTGAAGACTTTACCTCATAGATGTAGTCCAGTATTTCTAAGACTGTCAGGATGCTGGCGCCGATGAATAAACCCATTTGTCCTCCAATGTCACCTGAAACACAGAACACCGATGCTTAAGGAAAGCAGCGACAGTCACAGGGTGTTTGTGTTTTCTGTAAGTCTTCACAAAATTGAGCTGCAGTTTTGAAAAGACAGCTTATAAATCAATTTTAAAAGAGAGGATCTCTTACCTAATAATCCTGCGACATCGTATGCTTTCTTTTGCTCAATTGTTTCATAGTTCAGTGCTTCAAAGAAAATATCTAACACCAAGAAATTGTCTCTGTAAAAAGAAAAGAAAGAGAGACGGAAAACAGCAATTCAGAAAACATCTGTTCTTTCCCTGCTATTCACTTCAAATAGACCTCATTTAACATAAATTCACCAAGTCATCTTTCTGGTCACGTTAACACAGGATAGGATAACGAGGCCTACAGTGTTTTGAATAGATCTAACCAGTGATTGTGAGATAATGAGGTCTTTCAGGGTTTTACAGAGATGAGCGGGACGTGCACCAACAGCATGCTTAGTCACTCACATCCTCTGGTCTCTCTGGAGTTTATAGAGTCTCGTAATATTAAATGTTGTGAATCTTCATGGGCTCTGTGGTTTAGCCACGTTGATCCGCTCTTATATCCCGTTGATTAGACACTGAGAGGCGTTACAGGTTCCCCCTGCACTGAATTGGCTTTAAATATTAGCAAGTGCTCCATTGAACAGTTTACTTGATGTTCCTTGAACTTTTCCACCTTTTGTCACTTTATTACAATAAAAATCTATGTATTCATTGGGAGAGATTAATGCAAAGAAGTATAAGTGTTTATGTGTTTTTTCCTCAAGTTAAATATATAAATGTTTATTTATATAGCTAACTCATAATGAATAGCATCTCAAGGCACTTTAAAATTACAAACACACAAACAGATTGGTTCAAATATAACTTCTAGTCCAAGATCAAACTAAATCTGATATAAAAGCAGTCAGATTCAGATGATGCTGCCAGGAACCGAATGAAGTATGTTCCAAAAAGTATAACCTCTTCAGCTTTGATACACCTGTAAGCTTGAGTGACAACCTATTTTTAATACATACGGGTTTGTATGACGTCAGTTTTTTAGGTTTTAACAGCTTCTGGTTTCAGGAAATTCTTTCCACAAGTTTTATGAGTGTTGTGGACATTTTTGACAATTCCTCCAGAAGTGTATATGTGAGGTCAAACACTGATGTTGGATGAGAAAGCCCGGCTTACAGTCTCTGCTTAGATTCATCCCGAATGTGTTTGATCGGGTTGAGGTCAGGACTCTGTTCCAGGCAAGTTCTTCCAAATCAAACACCTTCATGCAAACCTTGCTTTGTGCACTGGTGTACAGTCTACAGCAAATAGTTAAGAGTTTCTAAATATTTCGGGATCCAAGTACAGAAAAACTGCACAAAACTTTAAGCTTTAAACACTGAAGTCAGGTAAGTCCCATTGTCCTGGTAACTTGTGCATTAGATATTAGAGGAGGACATTTCGTACCATCTTGTGCAGAGATAAAATAGAAAACAACCCAAGTCTTTAATGTTTCTTTGGTGTCTGGAAAATGAGAAGTTTAAAAACCTCCTAATTGCTACGACACATTCTCTGGCCACTGTGCCGTTACCTAGCAACCCCGGCTAAGCCCAGGCCGTTACCTAGCAACCCAAGCAGAACTCCAGGACATTCGGTCAGCTGGTTTCTATATCCACTGTACAATGGCTGCTGGAAAAAGCAAGTGTTTTGTTGTTGATTTACAATTCAGAAGCTACTTGCAACATTCTAGATGGTTGTGCAGGAGGTGGTTCTTCTGCTTGTCAAACATGAACGGTTGTATAATCTGTTTGCAGCCATTTTCTCATGCTAGTGTAAATGTAGACTTTGTGTTTTTGTATCACATAAAATTCCCATAAAATATCCTGACCTATTTGGTTGTAACATGACAAACTGTGAAAAAGTCCCAGGGATATGAATGCTTTATGTTATGAAATTTAAATCTTGCTTATCACACGTATAGATGTAATATTTTACAACAGTAAATGAAGCACTGTCTTAGCTCTACTGAAACCAGTCAAATTGGTGTTGAGATGCATGTTTTTCAGTGACAGAAAGACTAACAGTGGAAAACAAATACTCCCACTTCATCATAGTAATTACTTCTACTCATATAACACAAAGCAATAAATGTTTATTACCATTAGATTGAATTAAAAAGAGTTCCAATAATCAACATCTGTTTACTGGAACAAACATAAATTGATGCCTGGATGAAAATCTAATTGATTCTACTTTATATTTCACAGGATGGAGGGCATACTTTATGACTCCCTAACTGAGCAACACATCGCTGCTTAAAGCAAGCCTGTTTCTGGCTGTAGGTCCTTCTCCGTACCTGATGTAGTCCTCTGACTTGTCATATTTCCTGGAGAGATAGCGAGCCGATCCCTTGCTGGGGATTTTGACCATGGAGAGCTCTTTACCGTAGCGGGTGAGATTACAGGGCGTCTCACATGGACAGATATCCCCACTGTTCTTCTGTAGCTGGGCTGCAAACACAGTTTCAACAGACATAAGGTGTGATTTTAACTTGAATTAAACTTATTTCACAATGAAAATAATCAGATAAATGATTTGTTATGTCTTCAGTCCCCTTCTGCCACGGCACAACATCGAAGATACGGAGACGTTTCAGTCTTGTGTTGTAACATCCACTGCTGATCAAGTATTTTGGTCTTCGACTGCCTTGTTCCAACCGACCCTTCGTCCCCCGGGTTACCGTT